TACGCTATTGAAATAAGATGAGTGTCAGCTAAACGAAAGGAGAAGCGTCATCGCCCGCGGGGGTCACAAAGGTGATGCAGAGGGGGCTTCTTGGAGGCGAACACTCAATGTCCAACCCCTGCCCCCTGACGCACCACCATCACCCCCCTCCCCTCACTTTCATCTCTCCACCCACGATTTGTGTAGCAGATGAAAGTTGCATTAGTTAAAACGACAAAATAAATCGATATTTGTTTTAAGTTCAACTGAGGATGGGAGCATCATTTACGTGGGGGGCGACGCCCGCCTCCCCGCTCCCCGTGAGCGGGAGGGGCGCGACGTCCACCACATCCACTCCCCCCTCCTCGTCGGCCACCTCTCGACGGGCCCCTGCTGATCGGGTGATCAGCCCCCCCGCGCCAGCGCCCTCTCTGAGGGACATCGCTACTCGGCTGGCTCACCACCGCCCGGGGTTATCCCGCACACGCCCACGTACACCACCACACAAGCGAACGCGGAGGCGTGCACGCACGCGCCCCCGCAGGCGCGTATTTCGCACAAAGGTGAGCGCTAAAGAAAACGGGACGACGGCGGTATTGATATGCGCGCACCCCTCCGGGTGGTTAAGCCCTAGTCTGCTAGCACACAAAGACTTATGCTAAAGGGCTGTATGAATACACACGCACGCCTCGCCGTTAATGCTATTGCCGATGTAAACGCGCTGTGTAAACGCGCTGTGTAAGTGTAGTGGTGGTGTTGACGTGCGCCGACAGTGATGGATCACGGGGCGCGGGGTTGGGCACGCGATGTGGGCGTGGTATGGACGCGCGCGCCGGTGGTGAGGCGCGCTGACACAAGGTGGGAAAAGAGGATCGTAGCCAGCGCGCAGTGATTGGTCAAATAGGATGGGTGCTCTCAGCGACGTCCGCAGGAGGTGCATAAAGGGGGACGCGCGAGAGCACTCGAGGTTGTTGTTAACCAGTTGAAGACCGAAGACGGAGTGGAGGAGGTAGTGGCCCGAGACCCCTAGTCCCGCCGTCCTTGTCGGGACTGGGGCCCTGTGTGGCTCGGAGCCGAGACTGGGGGACCCGTAGTCCGACGCCCGTGTGGGTCGGGACGGGGGTACCCAGAGCCGAGACGGACACCCCGGCCGGGTGTGTCCCGGAAGGCTACGGGGCGTAAGAGCCCGTGTCAGTGTAGCTGAGTGGGTGTTAGTCACCCGAGTAGCTAAGTGGGTGTTAGTCACCCGTGTAGCTGAGTGGGTGTTAGTCACCCGAGTAGCTAAGTGGGTGTTAGTCACCCGTGTAACTAAGTGGGTGTTAGTCACCCGTGTAACTATAAGTTGGTGAAATAAAAGAGTGTGCTACCCGTGAAGTCGTCTCCCGCCGAGTTACTACTTTACATAAGCGCCGGCCAGCGGGTTTATCGCACCCCACCCTAATTACTCACGCGGCACACTGCAGGCGCTCATGTTTCACACACGTGCGCGTAAACTCGCGTGAGCGTCGGCGGCCGTGTATGTTTTAATACATGCGCGCCTCACGCTCAAATTATTGACACCGCACCGAGGTTCCACCCACACACACAGAAATCACACTGCACCAATACTCTGAACTAAAGTTTATAAATGGCGCAAATACACACTACCTGGAGGTGGAATATCTCGCGAGGAGAGCCTAGCCTTACTCTGCCTGTGAACCCAGTCACACAAACGTCGAAGCTGGACTCGCGGCGTCCCACGGACGCTGAGAAAGTCGGAGGGAGAAGGACGAGAGAAGACTTGACCTATCACTGTCTCGCAATAGCACTCGCTGGCATCACACGGATGCTGTGAGCGGCTCGAAGAGGCAGGACGGCAGGGAGAGGGTCTTGACCGCTCGGAGGTTGAAGCCAAGAAAGCGACATCGTCCCCTGGCTCCTCTTTTTATGCTATAAACTTCAAAGGCCCAGGGTGACGTCGTACCACGCAGCCAATCGGGCGCTTACCTGTGCTGCCGCTCCTTTAGTTCTTCTCGCATGGGGGAGTGCTGCTGCTCCGCCCACCCAATGTTCTCCCATGCCCAGTAAGTTCTAGTCTACAGGTCTGCTCTTTTCGCCTAATATTCCACCCTCAGCCTCTCCCAATGTCGTAAATAACATATTGCGGTTGGCCCAGTGAACCTTTTCCTTCTGCGCCCATACAATTTTAAGCCAATTTAGCGGCACCGCAATGTAACCTGTCCTGTGAGGGTCGGACAATCTTCTGGCACTGGGAAACCATGGGACTCTCCCTCTAGGGGCCCTTCGGATTAAAACCCGATGTGCCAGGCAATCCCCCGCCAGGACACTACGCGGGTGCGCTGCGTGCGGGTGTGTGTTTAGTGCGGGGGGCCGGGGGGGAATCGCGGTGCTTGCGGAGTTGCTCCGCAGTCGTGGCACCACATTTACCCTTCTTGCTATTTTTATTCTTGGCGTGCAACATACTTTATAGATATCAAAAAAATTATAAGCAGAAAATGGTGCCCAAGCACGTTCTGTCAGCAGCCGCGGTCTTACAGAAGCCGAATGCCCACACCTCCTTTACACTTCAACCGCTTGGGTGCCACACCTGAGGTGGCCAACGCACCCTCCCTGCCCGGGTCTTCCCCCATTGGGCACAGAGGAATGGGGGGGGGGGAAGACGACTGGACAGGCTGAGCGCATTGGCGCGGCTGCAAGTACCCCCCCCCCGCCTCTCATTGTGGCCCAGCAAATACTACCACCCTGATGCGTTGGTACCTCCGCGCGCACCCATGCAAGAAGAGCCTGCGAAAAGTGGGCGCTGGGACATTGCCGTAGACCCGTGGTTCTTAACGCTTTACTGCAGCCTTGCATCCCCATTGCTTCTCAATCGTTACAAAAAAAAATGATGCTCATAACTACATAAAGTTTGACGAAACAAATTAGTTGTACTCACGTGCCCGTGCTTAATTGATCTTTTCGATGATTTACCTTCTAAAAAAATCTGGCCATGTCTTTTCGATTTTTTTTTTATATATAATAGTAATCTTTCCATATGTATGGTGCTTAAATGCCTAAAACTCTGATCGCCTTACATCGCATCTCATCTCAAACAACTTGAACCGTACCACCTGGCCTGCAATAATATTGCGTTTTTATACAGGAGCTTCATGGTTGTTAAATGAATGCAACTGCATTGCATAACGCTGCATAATCTGCTACCACGGAGGTGCATACAGATGAAAATGTGTTCAGCCACTTCGTGAGTGTGCATCATACATTAAAAAACGGAGCCACTGTAGACAGGACAGATTAAACGAGTCCACATTTGCTGTACCACCTCCTGGTGAGCCCGAGTATGGCACCTCAACGGCAGAAGGGGAGTTTGGCAACATTTGTGTGATCACACCAACCCTCGCCTCCAGTGTTGGATTACATGCGTGTGCCACCACCTCCCGGCAAGTTGGGGGCGATGCTTGCTATGTGTAATTCCAACCCAGTCATTTGCGAGTAATGTTTTTGAATTTAGGCAAATGTGGACCTTGATGGTGCTTAACAGTTATCGGGCAATCTGATGACTGACAGCTTTAAGGGCATATCAAATGCCAAAAAGGAGATATTTTATAAGTAGTGATGATAGAGTGGTTGTGCCGTGGTTTGTGCAATGCACGATACACTTGGAAATCTGAGTTTGGCCGCAACTCACAACAGTCATGGGGCGTTATATCTGAACTGGTTCTGACTGAACATCTGAATTAAAAAAACATGTTGAGTCTCAGTGAGGCCTTCCAGAATAAATTACACTATCCTGACAAGAGTACGTTCAGAAAACATCTTGGATCGTATTGTTGCTAAGGTGTATCTTTCATGGGACCTCCCCTTTGCCAGTATTAAGATATGATAATAGGGTTTTCCCTTTTCTGGCAATAAATAAGATGTTAAAACACCAAACTCAAACCTTTGCAAGGAATCATGTCTGCATTAACCACATAAACTCGTGGTGAACATGCAAACAAAAACAACATGCTCTGACAGTATGTGCATTGTCTTTGAAACTCATTGGTCCACACCAGAGTACATGTGGCTAATGCAGACATGATTCCTTGAAAAGGTTTCAGGTTGGTGTTTTACATCTTCACACCTGTTTTATTGCCAGAAAATGGAAAAACCTTTTATCAAGGTGTATCTTTCTTTGAAGTGGAAGAGTCCAGAGTGTGCATTTACAATATGTAAGAGACCGATGTTGTTTTATCATGGTTGTTAAATGGTAACCAGTAAACCGGTTACCGATTTAAGGCTCTAACAATGGTTCTGAAAGCTAGGAAACAGCAAACGTGTTTTTTAGTAGGAAGGCGAGTGTACCCACACTTTATCCCACCACACGTGACCTAGCGATCGACTGGCTGTGGTGTACACATCGAGGTGAACGAGGAGGTGCTGGGCGAACTAAGAGGTGGTGGGGGGGGGTAGTTTCAAGAAACCTGCTCCATTGTTTCAACTGCCGCGGCGGGGAGATGGAATCGAACCGGCAGCCTCTGGATAGCAAATCCAACGTGCCAACGATCATCAATTCGGCAGCTGACGCCGTTTCTCAGTTAAAACAAGTATAACCCGTAAAAACAAAGTTTTTCACTATAAATCCTTTATATGCGTGGCGGCTAGAGTCCTCTCGTCCTCTGGCTTGAGATGGCTGCCATCTATGGGTCAGATGATTGCATGGCACCATTAAGCAATTGGTAATTAAATATAATGTTTTTGTCCTAAAAAGTGTAACATTTTAGGAAAAATTTTTCACGAACATTAATTGTCACGCACAACGAGTCTGTGTGGAAAATGTCAGCTCGATTGGATCACGGGAAGTGGGTTAAAAAACGACCGAAAGATTTGCACGGTCCTAAGCAAGCAAGCGAACTTAATAAAGGATTTAAAAAGGCTGACGAGGTTGTGTTTTTTGCTCGAGACATTTCTTCACGAGGCAAACCGGTTTTTTTTACCGGGGAGGGGGTGTACCAAGAATGAATGTAAAAAAACAAAAAACACAATTTTAACAACCCTAGTTTTTATTAAGCCACTTTTGGGTGAGATGAATCTTGCTCACCCATTCAAGCCCCTTCAAAACAAACCCCAAATCGTCATAAAGACGTCAAAAACCCCACCAGATACCAACTTAAGCGATAAAAATGCACAACGGAAACAATCCAAAAGGTAACTACCGATTCTATAAGCGTGTATTTTAGAAGATCACAAGCAGTCCTCGTGTTTGTCACTGAGGGTTAAAAAAGTAGCGTTTTGCAGAGGCAGCCAAATAAAATAGCAGGATTTAAATGGAAAGCATTCACTCACTGCGTCAGTCAGCACAACAAAACACCATGCAAGTCACCAACATTAAAGATTTCCCATGAGCTTTCCACAACAAGCTCAATTCCACATCGCAACTTTTACTGAGATGTCACTGAACTGTGGCTTCGGTGGTGGCCATTCACTTAAGACGTGAAACCAGACCGTTTTTTCCATTCTCACAATAACACATTTGTAGTTGAAAACAATACACATCTAAACGAATTTTAAGGATGCATAAATCTAAAGCTATGGAAACACAAAACCACTTTTTGGGCTTGAAATGTAGATTGATGAGGGCAGGTTTCATCCACGGGGTAAAACCAAATAGGTTACACGCAACTTTTAAATTAGGAAATTTAAAACACATGTATGTTCTAGTGGATTATACCGAACCAATATATTTAAGTGTCAGATCGGCATGGACTCTTTATTTTGTATAATTTGAGTCCAAGGGAAACTCATTCACTCCTATGAAGACACCCCAAAACATTTAAATAATTTACAATACATGACAGAGACCGCATTGTTTTTTACTTGTACTGCGGGATGATAATTTTAAACAAACTCGATAGAAATAATGGTTCAAATCTGGAATGTCAAGTGGTCATGTCACTGAAAATGTAACACTTTGTTTAGCGAAAAATGTGTTTCTCCTAAAGCTGAATTTCAAGCCACAGACACAAAAAAGCAGCCATCTTATTCAATTTTTTTTTTATCAAGAAACTAATCATTTCATTTTACTTACTACTTAAATTAAGAAAACAAACCCCTACAGGAGTGAAAAATAACGCAGCCAGCAGCATGACCAATTTAAAATGTTGAAGTTCCTATAAAGCAACACATTTGCCATGCTGTGAACGGTGAAATGAAAAGACATTACATCACGGCAAAGGTGTCAACTTTATCAACAGAATAATTCAGCCCAGCCTTTAAACGACTCAACTAAACAGTCAAATGTTCAAAACCCAAGCTGCCTTGCTTGATCGGTCCATTTGCCTCAGAACAAAAGTCTACATTTGCAACAAGAAGCAGTCCTGCACGACCGACTGCTTTCGCAGCTTTGACACAAGCAGGCATAAGACTGGCTGTGTGAAGTCAAGTGGATCAGGTCCCTCATTTCCATCAACATCTCATATTCTACTGGATTCAAGGACAATATCCTCCTCATAACAGTGTCTGTTGTTGTAACCTCTGCAGTTCCAGGTATTTTATAGCCACGCAGCTGGGCAACAAACGGACAGAGGCAAGTGCAGCCCAATATTCTGAGGCATTTGACAGTTCACGATGGAGGAAACGCATGTCGCAAACCTGGCATAGACCACAACAAATCTTAATTACAGTAAGGGACAGCTGAAGGTGTGCATTTATCCACCATTAACTTATTACAGCCTATAGTAATGACAGAACATAATATAATGTATTCTGGCCAACCATAAAATAGAAACGACTATTCTACAAATTTGTCTGACTTTTTTTTAGTCCAACACTAAATTCACAAAAGGGCTGAAACTTATTATTTTTTTTAATATGCTATTTCCTAACATCAACAATGCAATTATACATCACCCAGTACATAATTATGGGATCAGCTCGCCGCCAATTATTAAGCGTGGCACCGCGTTTTCAAAAACCTTTCCCTCGTATGCAACGTTATTCCTCGGTTCCGCAGGCACCCAGATGTATAGGCTTGAGACAATAGGACCCTTGTTAAAAGCTTGCATATAGGTGAGGATCACTCAACATTGAGCTACGTGTGGACTGCAAGGGCCCTATGTACTCAATCGGATGGTATTTGTGCACCCAAAACAAGAGCTGGCGTGGGATGGTGAATCATCTCCACAGGTGGCTTTGAAGTAGCCGCAGGAATTCGACATTCCCCTGGAGATGGCAAGTCTATCCAGAGGACAACCTCGAAGAAGGCACTGTTCAATCCAGGTTAACTCAAGGGCTCCACCAAGCTTTCATTAATGACATTTTATAACTCCTTTAACAAAAGCTTTTTTCAGATCTAGAACATTGTTAACATCCGTGTCACAATGAAAATGAGTGGCTGAATGTACTCGGGGAAAGCAACTGCACCGGGAGATTCACGCCTTTTCAAAAGATGCACCGACGTTGCGGAAATGCATCTGCCATGGTGTTTACTATGTTGGGACATTGAAGCAAAATTAAGTTCCAACATTGATACCCATCATTGCAAAGAGGCCAAGAAAAGCGCATTGCACCGACAATCTTCCTACAAACAGTAGAGTCTTGTCAACATGAGGAAAGACTGCAGACGGATGGTACAGCTCAGCAACTCCTCAAAGACCTGCATGGTTAAGTCGTCCGATACATGTTTAACCATTTCAAAGTAATTTTTTTGTTATATTCTTCATTTATTGGGAAACTGGGCAGATAATTTCATTTCAGACCGGAATGTAAGATTTGAACTCAGGACGGTGCTCCTGACACCATCATCAACCACTTCTGCCATTTAACAATACGGAGGTCAATTTCAAATTTGAGATCTTACACCGATACAAAATGGCCCAATCTTGTGAATGATCTACAAGGTCTTTAATATCCACTTTACAGAAAACGGCACGCTTTGATCGGCTCCACAGACATTACTGGGCAGCAGCAGCAACAATCAAACTTACTGCCTTTGTAGAAACTGGCCCAGTGGACAGGACTATGCATTTATGTTACACAGCTAAGATATGAATAATATAGTATCTATGAGAATAAGAAAACATCGAATCAAACTTCAAAGTAGATATTACATATGGCTCAATTAATTAACTAAAAAGACCACTAAACCTCAGAACCTATCCGCACCAAACAGCAATAATTAAAGCCCACGGTCTCATTAAACCCGAGGGAAAAAAAAGTAATTCTAGAAGCTGTTTAGTGTTTGAGGAGTCTGGCAATAGCCTAGGAAGATTGCATGCGTTCGGCGAGCACAGTATTTTGCAGCAAAATTTGGAATGGAAAAACACATAGCAAACGAGTAAGAATAACACTAATCCTACTCATTACGGGACCTACGTGTTGGGATAATTCATATTTAAACTGTATTCTTACCCGGTGTATTCGGCATGAATGCAGCTACGTTCGCCCATTTTACAACCCCAGCACCATCGCACGCAGAGTGTCTTATAAGGGGGACCCTGGGGCCGCACACGCGACATTACACACCGCAGGACCCACCCCACACGCTCAATTGTTACAACAGTTATATGAATCATAATTTTAAAAAAAGCTCAACCAATTTGAGATATTCACTCGCACGTCTTTCCTTAGCGCCATGGTGTTACGCAGAATATCCGGGCTATTGGAGGGTTTGGCGATCACAGAGGGGGGGGGGGGGAATGGGTCCACGTGTATCCAGTGGTTGGGGGCACAATGGCTTACACGGATTCGCCACTGGGTGTCGTAATCCGCAAAGTGCATTTGAGGACTTTCCTTTCATTGGCGGCATTGGCTGCTCACTGCTGAACGGAGCTTGCGAGTACGATGTAAATTACGGCTGCTGTCCAGTGTATAGACTCCACAGGTCAAGGCAATAAAACCCGACTCCCCACTGGGGCAGTAATCGTCTCCATTCGTGGTGGCCCTTAGCCAGCGGAGGAGATTCCACATTCCCATGGTGGGAGTCTCCTCATGGGATGATCACGTGTAACTTCCCACAGATGGTATTCATTGGCCCTGGAAGGATGGCCGAGTTGATCCCGCACAGGAATTGAAACTCGTAACATTATATTTGCTACTCTAGTTCTTTGCTCACAGCAAGAACACTCTACGAAAAACAATGTTACCTTTCTTTACCCAGGAAAACGTCAATAGATGACAATATTCAGAAAGGATGTGCTTGGGATGTTTCGTGGGTTCCTTTGAGTTCTGTTTTTGTGTGTGGGCAGAAACTAGTGTATGGGGAAAAAAACCCCAATGCATACGAGGGGAGAACACTGAAATTTCACGCAGCTTATTAGAATCCTACTTGTGTATGACTTGTGTATGGCCTCCTACAAGTAGTTAACTGCTTTTCAGGTGGGTGTCACAATGGCTATACATCCTCGGGGAGTGAACACACATTCCGGGTCCGTTCTTTTGCTTATATGGCCCCAACCAAGTGGAATTCTCGACCTCGTCAAATAAGGGACTTTCTAAACATCCCAAGCTTAAAAAACTAATACACGTTACCTGTTCAGCCCGGCATCATGGATGAAAGCTAACACAGCATCTAAGTTACGGTTCAGATTAACCCGATTATTTTAATTGCGTGGTTTCCATACCTGTCAACCCCTTACCAGTGCCTACATTTTTACAGTCCAATTCAGACCTTATTGGTCACCCCGTGCCACTTATAAATCTCAACGTTCATCAAACAAAGTCCGACCACAAGGGAGAAACACAAGACGAAAAAATGTGTTTGTGCCCGTATTGAAACGGCTGTACACCGTATAGACCTGAAAACTCAATTTCCCTGTACAAGAATACGGGGGGGGGGGGGTGATGAGGGGGGGTAGAAACCATATGGGTTGACAGGTATGGATTTCCCAAGTTTTTTTCGGAGAATCATAAATTATACATCGCGCATTGGTTTAAGAAAGGCGCCTTTCAAAACAACACAGTGTTGATTGAGAGTTGATTACAGCGGTTCCAAAATCAAGGCGTTGGGCATGGATTGAGAAACACCACAAGGTGCAGCTTCATTGACGAAAATAATGTATTTCAGCATTAGTGCACAAAGACTAAAATTGCATATACACTGCAGGAAATCAAATCGTGTTACGAAATTACTGGTACATTTTTGTTATCTTCCAGTTTCTCCTTGAGCAGGTTAACATGGGGAGAAGGATCGATGTAGAATCCGAACGCTGTACACGATTCTGGTAAAGCGAAAAAAAAGGTAACCGATTCAGAGTTACCATTCAAGATATTTTTCCTGCAGAAACACGTGCACACGAATGTTCTGTGCCGTTCCCATTACCTCTGCGCCCACGGTTATTTCCGAGTTTTGGCGACAGCGCCCCACCACGTTGTCGCCCACACTTTGCCGAGGCGGCCGTTTATTAGTTTGGGACAGGGTGTGGTGGTGCCGACACCACGACACCTGTGTGCCAGGTGTCATTTAGCAAAGTTCCCCCCGCGTCGTGTTAGTCTCAATGTCACGCAGTCCTCACGTCGTGAAACTCCAGGTGTGTCTGTGTAGGTTGTCCCTAGATGTCATCCTATCTAGATGTCATTTTTTGTTTGTTATAGAAATCACTTATTAAAAATGTCAGTCCTTATTGATGTAAATTCATACAGACATTAATCGGTATACGTGTCAACTCATTCAGGCAAGATGTCACTGCAAAAAAATCATGCACTATAGAGGTCATTCCTAGTTGATGTAATTTCTTCTAGCAGTCAACTCTTGTATTTTTTTTTATTTTGTCTTTAAAGAAATCCAGCCAAGATACCAATCAATGAAGAATTCAACCAGCAAGTCATTCCCACACGAGTCATTGTTAAAATCACTCGGTGTAGATGTCTCTCCGCGTAGAAGTCATTCAATGTGAAAGTCATTTCATTGACACGTCAACTCTTGCACACATCGTTCAGCGTAGGAATAATCTTACGATATGTCAATCCTCGCCGATTCTAGGATAATCTTTCCGTGCAAGCTGTCGCTTGTAGCGGATGTCATTCATTCCGCCGTTAGTGCTGCTGCTGCTGCGAGGCCTGGGAGTCGTCAGGAGAACCGTCGGCGGTCGAGGAATCCCGTTGCCCCCCCCCGCCGGTGGGTGGTTGTCCACTGCGGCCGCCCAGCATCATGCCGTCCAGAAACATGCTGGGGATGTCGCGGCCAAAGTAGACCTTGGCGTTTGCGGAGATGGCCTGGTACCGCATGACCTCCAAATACTGGGGCGTCAGCTTCACCTACGCTCGCGCAACAGTGACAAATCAGTGACCATAAAAGCATTACCACCAATTCCCTTTATTTATCCATGAAAGCCTCACTGAAAAGGCCCCCACCCCCCCCCCCCCCCCCGAATTGGGATGTTTTGTCAGTCCCACTTTAAACACAGAAAGATGAACGTCAAAGCGTTTTGCCAAAAAAACGAGAATAGGCCAGGGCTCATTTATTTTGGTGGCCCTAAGCTAGTGGTGGGAATGTGAAAGTCATCAGGTGGGGCCTATTTCCCCACAAGGCAATTACTGTTGACAACATATTTCGTGAAAACCCCGGGGCCAGCCCTGAACACGCTGGCGGGACGATGTCACTCGGCTGGCCTGGGAACACCTGGGAATTCTGCAGGAACAGCTAGAGTCTGTGTTTGGTACTGTATAATCTAAACCCTCCGCTTGTCTAATGAACGTTGCAAAACAAAGTTTTTTCAATGCTCAGAAAGTGCTCTGAAAATGCCTCCCTCAACGCTAGAGTCCATCGCCAGGGAAAGGGAAGTCTGGACTGTTCTACTCAACATGCTGCCACCGCGACCCTCACCAGGACAAGCGGATTGAGAAATGAACGAACGAACATATTCCACAAAGTGATACTCCTGTAGAAAGTCGAAGGTATAAAGAAAGCGTCTCTCTACTGAAATAAGCAACAGGAGCAGCACTCCTCTGAAATGGGGAGCCCTAAACAAGTGGTGGAAATTCCACCTTTCTGTCTGTAGGACGGTAGATGTTGACTTCTCAGAAAGTAGTACTCATTTTATTGACACCCACGGACTGATGGGATGTTTTAATCCTTAACTGGGAATTAAACTAATTATAAACGCGAGTATCATGCGAAGCCACGATTCCCAGGGGCCCGACTGTACTCGTTATTACACTGTTATCACAGCCCTTTGTCACTTACCTTCTCCTTGGTTTAATCACCATCGTGTCACAGTCAAGGGAGTTGTTTAACCATCCTGAATTCACCACACTAATCAGTGCAGGTCGGCAATGAGAGGGCAAGACCCTGGAACCAGTTCAGACACCATTCACCACTACTGTTATCCATGGCCAGGCTTTGAACTCAGGTTACTGGGTTCAAAGGGAAATGCACTAATCATTGTGCCACTGGTCCTCCTGTTATTTGTTACCCAGCAAAAAAAAATAGCAAAAACGATCTCCCTGAAAATTCCACATTGTCAAGGTGGGAGGCCAGCCATTCCGCACGATGACTACTGTTGACGTTCAACAATGCAGTACTCATTTGATCAACATCAGGAGCGATGATAAAGCTGAGTAAACCCCACCCTGGGGTTTTAAATCACGACATTCCAATTGTGAGTCAAGCGAGAAAATCATGGCAGCCACCCAGCCAGATGATGCACAGAATGTGATGGCCCTTTATCCAACAGCGGATTGTGCAAGTAGGTGACAGTATTGACCACATAACAGAAATACGATTGGGATTTATTTTTTTTAAAGCAAGGCAATTGAGAACGCCATGAATGGGTAATAAGAGACTAGAGTTTGCACATGGGAGCGCTTGTCAAAATACGGAGCTTGTGCAGAGAGATTACAACATCGGTGACTTAACCACGAAACACCGGTTACTCTCACCAGGGCAAAAATTTGCCGAGTAAACTGGGTTCAAAAGCCCCGTGCGCATTGAGGTAGCCACGTGACTGACAAATAAACTAATAACTTCTAGATTTGAAGGCTTTCTTGACTTGCAAGGATTCATACTCTTTGGTTTTTTCGGTAAAGTCACGTAGGTAAAAAATAAAATTAAATAAATTAAAGCAACTAAATTAAATCACAACGTTTCGGAAGCAACACAAGCCTCCGTCTTCAGGTGATTTTGCTGTGGCGTGTTCCACCTGAAGACGGAGGCTTGTGTTGCTTCCGAAACGTCGTGATTTAATTTAGTTGTTTTCATTTATACTGGTAGGAACCTCCTGGTTACACCAGCCCACAGGGGATTATTGTGTTCGTCCGTCCGTCGTGCATCCAAAAATGGGAGGGGTGGGGCTGGGTGGCAGAGGGGAGGGAGGGGAGGGGCAGGGTGTGGAGGGTGTGGAGGGTGGGGAGGGGCTGGGTGGGGAGGGTGGGGCTGGGTTGTGTGGGGCTGGGTGGGGAGGGGCTGGTCACCCCGTGGTGCCCTTATAAAACCTACACACGCCGGCTTGTGCCCGCCCTCTCAGTCGGCCATATTTGCGGAATACACCACGCCGCCGTTGACCCTGGCCATTGACCGAGCAACCCAACGTTCCTACCATCTCCCTCCGCAGGAATGTGTTTTTATTTTATTTTTACCTACGTGACTTTACCGAAAAAACCCAAGAGTATAAACTCATAACGTTGTGCCTCTGTATCGTTTGTTGAACCACCACTGCCCAGATCCTGGGGTTTAAGTACAGGGGTGCCGAATCTAGGCCGAGTTAACCCAGGGTAGGTGGACACCAGATTCGGATACGAATTATCACTCGTGTTGTTCTCATGGAGGAATTCAGCGCGAGTCACTGTGTCCATACTGTAGCGTGTAAACCACTGCATCCTCTACTCCAAGCACACACTTCACCTTGTTAGCCTCTGCAGTCTTCAGCGACGTGTAGTACTCTGCGTCGGCCTTTGTCGTCTGCCGAGCAAGGAATGCCGTGTCTGAGCGACACGCACACACCACAAGAGTTCGATGAAACATGCGGCCCGACGCTTCCTTCTGCAATGCTTGTCACTTCTATCCATTCAAGGCGTTAGGATTTTGTAGTAAATCAACCAACGTGTTTTACAGCAAAGGATCGGCCATTAGCTCCCGATTATGATGGTAAATGTGAATGTCCATGTACAACCTAGCAAATTAAAATGCAAAAATGTAAATATATGATCATGGTGGGGTTGACTCAGCCCATCATCCCACAGTGGTCGATAAAGTGCCACATTGTGGGAAGTCAACTGTGGTTGTCCTCTGGACAGGCCCATCCTACTGCCAAAGGAATGTGTCATTTCAACCACGAGGCTCAGAGCTGTAAACAGGAGAGGAGCAACACCATAGGGTGCATCTAACCCCTCCGCTTGGCTAAACCCTCCGCTGAGCTAAACCCTCCGCTTGGCTAACCCTCCGCTTGTCTAATTAACGTTGCAAAAAAATGTTTTTCAATGCTCAGAAAGTGCTCTGAAAATGCCTCCCTCACAATTTGTAAGTTTACTGGGATGATTTCAGAGACGATTTCATGCGAATATCCGAAGTATTGTGGATAGTGTCACAGATAAGAGGTTCCAAATGAATTCATCACATCGGACGAGATTGAAGACTCGCGCACAACGGCCTTATTGCCTCGAGTTAATTTTGGGCCGATGCACGAACTGTCACAAGTTATATCCAAGGTGGTGCTCACTGGTGACGATATGACGGATGGTATATTCAATTTAACACGTAGGCTTTCGCGACCAATATTATTCATAATAAAGTTTTTTGGGTTAGATCGCGTTATTTATAAATGTATCGTAACCCTCCACCACCCGACACGGCCAATCAGCAAAAAAGTGTCACGTTGACAAAAGACAAATAGTTCACTACTTCTGGCGTATTGCCCGATGATGCTGGATGTAATTACCAGCGAAACGTCGTACTCAAAAACTGTAAATGTTGTGGATTCACTCTTCAACACACCGGTGGGCTAAAGTGGTGAACTATTTGTCTTTTGTCAACGTGAAACTTTTTTGCTGATTGGCAGTGTCGGGTGGTGGAGGGTTATGACACATTTATAAATAACGCGATCTAACCCAAAAACGTTTATTATGGATGGTATATTGTAACGGGCGCTGAAGCGCCGCTGGCCTGGTGCAGCTCTGTACGCGTCAATGTGCGTGCAACCGTGGGAGCACAACGTACCCTCCAGCTCGGACATCTTCTTCTCCGTCTCCTTCTCCTGCACCTTCTGCTCAAACTGGATCTTGGACACCTGCGCCACCTTCTCAGCCTCTGGACACATGTAGAGCGCAAAGACAGATGCATGAATATACATGGAAAGCACAGATTTTCCCCATTCATCTTCACGGTATGTTGGGGCAAGTCCCGCGAGCGAGTGCTTGTTAAGGCCACATGTATTTATTTGTACAGCAAAGCACACGAGAGGGTTGTGCTGTGGTCAGAACCTATGCCTTAGCCACCTCTCTTTTCGTCCTGGTACAGTGTGCCAACATCAGCACTGAGTGCTCAATTATGATGGAGAAGACATAAAAGGAGGCCCCGGTGAGGTTCAGGTGCCACTTCACACTGCTGTTATACCTGGCCAAGAGTCAAACCCGGGTCATCAGGGATCGTAGCGCAGTGCGCCAACCACTCCACTACTGCTCCCCACATTAAAGCGTGTACAAATAAATACACACAACTTTACAGAAATAAATTCAACCGGACACATTTATACGTAGAAAAAATATTAAGGTTCCCCATTTAGTCATAAAGACTGGTTGCGCAAGTGCAGTGAGTAAGGCCACAAAAGGAGTGATGTGGCCCGATGTGCCAACACCGGCAGTATGGGCTAGACATGTACAACGCAACGATACATCGATTTAGATTAAATAACATTCTTATCTTTCGATTTAAAGCTTTCGTGACCGCAGGGATTCATCTTCTTGGTTCTTTCGTTAAAGTCACATTACGTGACTTTACCGAAAGAACCAAGAAGATGAACATTCTTATCCTCATAATAATACACTCAGTCATGCGTGTGGGAAGTAACTAAGATGTATGCAAACTATGACAAGCAAATATATATGACAAGTGTAAAAAAACTAGACAGAATGAAAATACCAACAAGATGGTAAAGAAAGACAAAAAATAACTGATCATGGAATAGTTAAGACTCCGAATCGTGATAATTCCCCTCCACCCGTGTGGAGGTACCTGCCCACTATGGGCCCCCTCACCCATCGCTGTTGATCAGATTTCAAGTTTATTTTGTTCAACCAGAAGGGAACTCAAGAGAACAAGATGGATCTCAATTGCAAGTCACCTGGGTCACCAAAAGCAAACAACAAATTAAGATTCCAGCTATAAAGCAAATAGAAATTAGAGCAAAGACAACTGGCATCACGTGAGAAATCGCACATATTGCACAAACGTAAATCAACGTTAAGTAATAAGTTCCCTGTAGCGCAAATCGCCTCAGGCAGATTATGTCAGACTAATCCCAGTGCAATCACAATTAAGTTGCAGAATTGTATTACATTTTTTTTTATTTTACCAGGTTAAGGCCCACTGAGCTATACGGCTCTTTTTCAGAAGCGACATGGCCGCAAATGATAGCTCAACGAAGTGGCTTATCACGTGGAAATGTATTGTAGCCAAATACTCTTAAGGCATGTTTCTAAATATGGAGGGGAAAAACCGGAGGACCCGGAGAAAAATCCAAGCGACCACGGGTAGAACATGCAAACTCCAAATATACAGGCATCAGGTTTCGGAACGAACCCACGACCTCCTGCATACCGGGCGAGGGAGTTAACATTTGCCACTGCGGCACCCAACACTGATGCACAGTGTAAGTGGGAGACACGGGGCCGTGGCCCATACCCTACCGATGATGGCTTTCTTGCGTTCCGTCTCCGCCTCCTTCTCCACAACCTTCTGTCGCTGTGCCGCGATCATCAGCTTTGTCTTCTCACCCTCCCTGCCATGGGAACAGAGACGTGAGAACGCTTCGCCCAGTCAAGCGATTTAAAATGGGCGGCTTCCAGGCACTCGCACTCCACTCTGTCATATCCGTTCCACTATGCGCTCAGCAGAATCGCTAACGTCATCATCGTTTTAATAATTTCACCCGCCCCCACCCCGAACAACCAATAAAAGTTCATTCAACGTCAGTCTCATTCAATATTCCACCAAAACTGTGGCTCTTAATGTAAAAATACTTGTCTCTCTAAATCAGTGGTTCTTAACCTGGGGTGCAAGCATCCCCTGGAGGTACGAGATGCCGTGTCTGGGGGTGCAAGACATGTCAGATTTATTGAGAAGGTAAATCACGGGCACGTAAGTACAACTACATTGTTTCATCAAACCCGTGTATTTATTAATATTATAAATGTTTAACAATTGGGAACCAAAGAGGTGCAAGGCTGCAGTGATTTTTAAGAACCATTGCTCTAAACTAAGGAATTCCATTATTTATGTATTCTTTATAAAATCGTCTGCCACTCTACTCAGCAACATCACCTTCTATATATTCAGTTTTTATGAAGCACTATACAACCGAAATGTAGTCTCAAATCCAACTAGAAACTCTTGATGCAAAGATTCAGAATGCATCGACCTGTGCACATATACGAGGAGACCTCAAAAGAATCGTCACTGTCAAGTTTTAGTTTATGTTTCCATTACACATTCAACGAGGATAATTTTCATCTGGAATCCAAACATAATGATATTTTAAAAAAACTATCAGTAACAAATTTGAAACAATTCAAGTAAATGGTCGCGATAAAACACACACACACACAGACAAATGACCCCCCCCCAAACGGCTACACAGGGGAGAGGGCTCACTCACATGAGCTCATAGTTTCTTCGAATGGCTTCCGGGATCTTTGGTTTCGTGACGCGAACAGCCTGCGTGCAAAACACCCTCACTGTCGTCATCATCATCAACGCTGACATTAAGAGCACCATCATCGCAACCACTGACAACATAATTTTCAATCACCATCGCCATTGTTATCACAATGCTTGCAACGCATTGATTTGAGGTAGCATAAAGCGTGGGTACTATCGCATTCCTTTCGCAGTGGAGAGCTTTGAAAAACGCTCCCAGAATGAGGGCACTCTTGTACACACATGACATCAAACAAGGCACGTATGCAAGATGAACTTATTTTCACAACGGACGTAGCCAAACGTGCTAATCGGCGGTAACAGAGAGCCCATGGGATCATCGGAAATATTCATCACAATGCCTTGAAAGCCCCAAAATATTGCACAAGCTCAGCTGCGTTCGAGAGCCAGTAGATAAAGTGAAGCGTACAGTAAAAACTTGGATTGCGAGTAACTTGGTCTGCGAGTGTTTTGCAAGACGAGCAATTTTTTAAAATAAATACTAATTTGATAAACGAGCGAGGTCTTGCAATACGAGTAGTACGTGTATACGTTTTGTCTGCCGAGCGTCACGTGATCACAACTGATATACGAGTGCTTTGATATACGAGTGCTTTGGATTACAAACATGTTTCCGAAACCAATTATGCTCGCAATCCAAGATTTTACTGTATTCATTTGGAAATCCAGTGGTAAATCATTAGAACACATGACTCGTAACTGGAGAGTTGCAAGTTCAAATCCTGGTTCAGGGTAGGCTCAGCCCATCATCCCTCCAGGACTTACAAAACAAGGAGCATTTTACGAAGAGATCAAAAGCAATTGTACTACCAAAAAATGGTCTCTGCCTTAGAAAAATGTGCAATTTACGTCACTTATTTATGGTCACCAATGGAGCCAAGTGCTGCCTCTCACTCATTTGAGCAAGGCTTCAACTTAAAAAAGAAAACCATCAAAAATGTTTCACCATTGTCAGTACAAGTAAGCCCTCATAACATGTCCATGATTGTGGCTGAGGGTGCACTAAGATGAACATCCATCCCTTACAGCCTACGGAGTCTAAAGGAAGCGGTCCGAATTGGCACCTGTATGAAGAGGCCTGGAGCCATGGAGGTGAGGTCTTGCTGAAGGGCGATCTTGAGGTTCTCATCAATTTGATCTGCACTCGCCGAGATGAAGAGCAGACACACGAGCGTGCGAGTATGTTTGTGTGTGTATCGTTTGTGGAGCGGTAGTGCAGCGGTTAGCACGCTGCGCGATGAACCCGGGGTGCCGAGTTCAATTCCCGCTCACGGCCAACACCAGTGACGATTATCCGAACCAGTCTTTGGCCTTCCCTAGGTCGACTCAACCTCAAATTAATACTTGGGACGGTGTGTAAACATTGGCACTAGGGAGACGACAAAGGTAGCCAGAATTGGTGCTGGCCACCCACCATCCCCTCTTGTGCCGTGCTGACCTTCATAGGTGCTCGCCAACAGCACTTTGCCCAAAATAGTCTGTTAAAGCTATAAGGGGGTTATTGGTCTTTGTATTGTTTGGGCACCTATGTGTGTACACTGGAGCATTATCGTCAAACACTGCACTACGAACCCAGCAACCTTAGTTTGATTCCTGGCCACAGCTATCGTGGGGAGCGATATTTTAACCACGCCTGGTGTTAGAACATCAGCAATGGGGAGTCAAAAGCCACCAGATATAGTGTTGGAATTGGTCACCACCCCCTAAGTGTGCACCGCGCTGGCCTTAAAGAGATGCTCGCCAACGGCGGCAAGCCCAGGATTCTGTACGGATAAACGGCGGAGGTTCGATCTTCGTGTGTACGTGCGTGTACAGCGGTGCATGCACACCGGCTGGGAGTTCCCGCGTGCACTCACCAAACAGCTCGATGTAGACCTCCTGCAGGGAGTGGACGCTGCAGAACTGGTTGAGCTCGTGGTGCACCTTGTTGAAGATGAGCGTCTTGTCGTAGTCAGCGGTGTAGTTCTTCACAATGTCGTACACTGCGTGCCGCGCGCACACGTAAACAACACGACACGCACACAAACACGCACATGCTGAGTGACGTTCGTCTAGACTCCCCCCCCCCCCCCCCCCGACTTCACGCCAAAGCTACCACCTCAGACCTGTCTCTGCAGCTCCCCCCAGTATCACCAGGCATTCTCAATCCACTGCTATATTTAACCTAGCAGAGCGGTGCTGGAGTTGGAGCACTCGACTCATAATCCAACAACATTAGACCATCATACCTCCAAGGCAGTTAAAATGAGTACCTCTGTGTGGAAGCTCAAATAACGCTCGTCCGCTGTAGAGTGCATAAGTACATAGAGGGTAAAAAAAAAAAATTTCAAGTAAACGTTCCTCTCGTTGCTTAAGTACGCTTAGAGCGGTGCTCATTTCTCGCAGCGGTCCTGAGCCAGCGGTAAAATTCCTCATTGCTATGGCGGGTACCGAGTGCATCCAAAGAAAATTACTGTTGACTTCCCACAAAAATAATACATTTATATTGAGCCTGAAGAGATTGTGAGTTGACTTGAGCCTTGACTGGAATTTGAACTTGCAACCATCCGAGTCGAGCGCTGTGCCATAAAGATGCCTGTTCGGTAGCTGGCAATTCTCTATAGCGTATGCTGTCGTCTGATCTTGTCGAAAGCTTAGCAGGGTTGACCTTTGCTGTATTCCTTGAAAGGGTGAACACCATTCACAACAAGTCGTTATTGCCTGCAGGATTACGTTATGGGCAGCAGAGGGCAGTGCAGAAAAATAAATAGTTGTACTATACCTCCATGCTCCCCCATCACCAACCAGCACTAACCAGTGAGCCGACGTATGCTCAAATAACTACCCACGATTAGCACAGTATGGGAAAGTTCTCACCCAACAGTGGATTAACAACGAGATATATATTAACATGGAAATGTAGCCTTCAAAGGTGACCTACTACTCAATTAATAATATACACAATCGCCAAGCTGCATTGGCTTACAGTTGCCGACCAAATATATTATACAGGTAGGAACAACAGGTTCCACACTGCCCACCAGGGATTATTTGTCTGTTTGTTGTGCAATTTGTGTGTCATGCACGAATGCGCTGTCCAACCAAGTTCCTACCTGCCCACTCGGAAGGAACGTGTTAAGGTTGCACTCAATACACACAAAGTGCTTGCCACAAATGAACCACAATACCTTGCTGATCTCCTCAAAGAGCATAAACCATCATGCGAACTCTGGCTATATTCGCAGCGGATTTTGGCTAACCATTGAACAAAGACGGTCACCGCATCGCATGCTTTCAGATGCGCTTCCGAGGCCGTCTGGAACGCTCTTCCTTCCGATATTAGGAAGCCACTGGGAGCTATGCACTTTTAAATCATCTAGATTGAAAACTCATTCCTTTACAACGGATTCTTTTGTTTAGTTTGTTGTCCTTCCCCGCACCTCCGATTAGCACAGTTGGCTACGTACGGTGCGAAAGAAGTTTAACATATGTACATAAACATGTGTGTAAACACAGACAAATGTGCACACACACACACACAAGAACATGTGCACAAACACACACACACCACCTGCATCTGCCGCCAGGATGTTGACCACTTCTATCCGGTCGAAGTAGATCATCACTCCTCCACTGTAACACAAAAAGGCAAAATAAAACGCTCACAGCAGCCTGGTTAGACTGCAGTTAAGTAAACAATTCTAAATTATTTAGCAATGATAGGCACAAGCAAAGATCCCTCTATAGCACTGAACAGACTATTGGGGCAAGTGCTGTTAGCAAGCACCTATGAAGACCGGAACAGTACACGAGGAGGTAGGGTGGCCAGCACCACCCACGACTGCCTTTGTCTGTCCAGTGGTGATATTTATACACTGCATCAGATACTCATTTGGGGCTGAATCAACCTAGGGAAGGCCCAGGACCAGTTCAGATAATCGTCACTGGTGTTGGTCGTGAGCGGAAATTGAACCCAGGATGCCGGGTTGGTAGTGCAGCGTAGCGCTAACCGCTACACTACAGCTCCCCACAACATGCACACACTGACACACACACACAGCTATAAAGGTTCCCCTTCCAGCCTGGATAATCTATTGGCGAGAGAGCTGTTGGGGAACACTTCATAAAAGTACAAAAAAAATGCTGTACCAGATTTAAACTGGATTTTGGGAGTCGTTGCCTACGTTAGGGAGCTGTTCCCAACGTTTGGGAGCCGTTGCCAAGGTTTGGGAGGTCCATGCCTACGTTTGGGGAGAAGTTACCTACATTTGGGGAGAAGTTACCTACGTTTGGGGAGTCGTTGCTGGTGTGGCAACGATGACCAAAAACGACGTGGCCAGCACCGTGTCTGGCTGCTATTCTTTAACGTGGTGATTATCACGCCACGTACCGGGCCACTTATTTTCAATGTTAGAAATGCAGCTCACTAACACTATCCACTCTTGTCGCCCCTCTCTATACACAATATGGATGTATTAACAAGCAATGAATCTTGCACGTAATAATTGGTTATTTCAGATCCGCATAAGTTGTGCATGATCTGTTCATGGAAACCGTGATGCCACTGCAGATTCTACATGCACATCCTATTAGCACGGTTGGCTACGTACGGTGCGAAAGAAGTTCAACATACATACAGAAAGCCAAAGATTTAAGAGTCAAATGGTGACCCCCCCCCCCCCACCGAATCCTCACAATTAATTTCAACAAATTATGTAGGGGTGGTGAATCAGTGCATCCTTAGTGTACACGTCATTCCGCTGCTGGATGAGGGCCTCCTCACAATGAGGGTTATCTGACCATACTGTAACACGCTGGTCCACACAGGTTGGTAAAGTTGGAAAGCATAAAAGTACAGAACAATCCAAACTCAACCTTGCGTGGCTTCTGAGATCTCGCAAAATTGGGTGGATTGTGGGAGATTTGGTCAAAAACATTCATTTAAAGCACAATAAACACACACACATAGGTGAAGATCCATTAAGTCTCTAGTGCTATTAATGATCAAAGCACGCACGCATGTACACAGATACATGCAACAAAGATGTCTCCATTAACCAGGAAGGGTTGTAGAAAATTCCGTACATTTCCCATTTCGGCTGGCACAATGCAAGAGAGAGAGGTCAGATAGGATAGCACCCCACCATGCCTGGCTGCCCAAAATGTACAATTTCAAATAGAACTCTCCAATACGATAAATAATTATCACTCGCCTTGTTCCGCAAGGCACGTTCTTGACTTCATCCGTTTGGAGGGTGGTCTGTACAATACATAAACAGATCAGTTAAAACACATTATCAAGTTGAAGCTTCCATGACTTTGTACATAAAACAGGTTTCTCAACCGTCACTTAAATTTTGCCTAACATACCAGTGACAGTAAAACCAACCTGCTGCTATTTCTACCTAACCATTTGCATTAAGTAAAAATCATACACGAATTGATGATGTGGTTAGAGTGCTCAATTTAAAGTTACAAGGTCAAATCCCAGCCGGGCGTTTACTCAAGTCTACTTGGGGTTGATAAGAATTTAGTGACGTCAACATCGGTTGTGCTATGGATAAGCTGGCCCCTGCCATGAGCATGTGGAATGTCCATCACTGGCTGTCACCAGATGAGTGTTGCCCCAATGCTCATTTAAGGAGGGAGCCACTGCCTTTTTAACAAGTTGTTTTATCTATATTTGTCTGTATATATGGGGCTCACAGCGGTGATTCCATGATGTGGTATATTAACAATAATTACAGTTTAAAAATCTCAAGGTGCTCTCATGACAAGGTGGGGGGGTGGGGTTGGGTAAGTTGTAACACCTGCACGACGCGGTTAGACGTGATGAAGGGAAGCATGATGTGGTAGCCCGGTCCACTCGTTGCCTTGAGCAGTGCCCCACCCCTGGGAAACAACCACAGCACACGCGCACCCACACGGCCATGAGCGCAACTCTGACACAACCCCAGCAATGAACCAAAGTTAAGTACCCGCTGTTCGCTGTACACACACTAGGGGAATATGCTCTCATAATGCATGTATGGTGAACTTCTTTTGCACCGTACGTAGCCAACCGTACTAATCGGAGGTGTGGGGGAAGGACAACAAATTGGTGAGCAACCACTACGGGTGGCGTGGCACATGCTGGTAGTCCAGTGATAAGATTCTTGAATACACATGCGCAGAGCTCTGGGCGTTACCCTCGTATATGTGGGTTTTCTCTGGGTATTCCGGTTTCCTTCCACACGAACAAAGAAAAACTGTTTAAAATAATTGGTCAAAATTTTGAGTTGCCACGATATAAGTTTTCAAGATGGTACGTTATTCAGTTTCACGATAGGATGGCCTTCGCAATATCAGTTCCCCATTACTTTGTATTTCACATTTTTATAGTTTAGTTTTTCTGCTTTGCCGTACTTCCAGTAGAAATAACAATTACTCTAAAGGTATTCAACTGCAATTCGCGACGTTTTATACTTGTGATACCTTCACAATCTATCTCACTTGCAACGCACACCATCAGTAACACTAAAATGTATTAATTAAAATAACTATGAAAAGGATGCCGTTATAGAACTGCCATGTCATTACTCTGGAAAGCCTTTTACAAAGCACTAATGTAGTATATAATATTTATTTAAAACCTTAATGATTTACTTTGTTATTTTATTGTCAGAACATCAAATATCTATATAGAAATAAAATAAGCGATGAAAATCTCGAAACAAATATTTAGCTAAACTGAAGATATGATTATTGTGGTTCTTTCGGTAAAGTCACGTAGAAGGGAAATAGTAAAATAATAAAAATAAAACTATAAAAATTCTCACGACGTTTCGATTGCAACACAAGCAATCATCATCAGGTGTGAAAACAGCAAGAAATTTTTTTTTAAACCGCCACTTTTTTCTAAAAAATGTCTTGCTGTGGTTTTCACACCTGATGATGATTACTTGTGTTGCAATCGAAACGTCGTGAGAATTTTATAGTTTTTATTTTATTATTTCCCTTCTACATGACTTTACCGAAAAAAACAAGAATATGAATCCCTGCAGTCATGAAAGCTTTAAAACGAAATTTATTGTAGTTCTCTTACAGATTGTTCGGTTTGTCGGAACATCGCCATTGGCGGCAACCCTACTGCTTAATGCAGAACCCTTGCTAAGAGACTCTTAATGCTTCGTGAAGCTTGATTATTAAATACAGGACTATAAGAAATGAGCAAAAATAATTTTTTAAAACTGGCTATATTACCATATAATTAAAAAGCAGAGCGTTGTGGTGGGCGGCAGAGGAAAACATTGATGGTTCTGCAGTATTAATACATTCTAATGCTTTGGGTACAATGCATATTGCAACATGTCTGAGTCTTCTCTTTGATCAAAATCAAACAGCCTCAAGCCAGCGAATCATTCCAGCCCAGCAGGTATGGATGACCCATATAGGTAGGATAACAACACACTGGGTATTTCGTGAAATTTGATTTGTATCGTATTATATCGTGAAAAATTATATTGCAGCAACCCTAGTTAAGTAGGCAAGTGGAAAGATAGATACGGGTGTGGGTAGGTAGCTTTTATTAAAACCAGATGAGAGTACATTGAGACATCACATCTGTTTTGAAAGGAGACCTTGAAAGAGTTCAGTAACAAAATAGGCAAGAGGTTACAGGGCAGAGGAGGCACAAAATAAAAACATAAAAAAACTGGACTGTAAAAAGAATGGAATTTTTAGAACTATACAAATTACGTAAATTTTAACAAATATATTGGACAACTGCTTTAAATAAAAAAGTAATGGGATGGAAATATAGAATATAATATGATGTATAATATAAGGGCACTCTTGTTAAAGGTACTTAGTTTAAGTAAATGCAATTAAACTACACACTGTATTTATCAACTGGTTTGACAACCTCTGACAAAACAAACACGTGGTACGCGATGAATAATTTCTCCAATTCGTTCTTTCTTTGGTATAGACGCAGTTCTGTTCTTGTGTATGGCAGCAATATGTCTAAGCGCTAAATACCAATGTTGATGTCTGCTGGCCACGACAGGGCTTCAGGAGAGCGTTTGTGTAGTTTTGCTAACCCTCCATAGAAGGAGCGCAGACGACACAGTGGTGTACTGTGTGGTCTATAGTAGATGCAGTGAAGTTCCTGGACTGTATCCGTTCCATATCCCGCAATTACATTGGTGAGTTGACAGCGAGGGGCTTATTCAGATCATTCTCACCAACACCACAAGATGGTGCTGCTCTACCAAGTCATGCAAGCCAAAGCCACGCATTGCCTTGATCTCTAATTGTTTTTCTCAACTCCATTCCTCGCAGAAAACGCACAGCCCGCATTTTCTTAAATTACCGAGTCTCTTTCATGCATGTGCAAATTAAGCCACTGCACACTCAATCCTCCTGGTGACTAGCAATCACGCAACACAGTATATCGGTAACTAATCAGTCAATTTTATCCGTCAAGGTTGCTCTTTAATTATCGGTGAGCTGAAACAATAATTCACTGGTCAACAAAAAAAAATGTTTCTGGCCTGGACTTTTGCAGCTGTTTTAGACTAATTTCAGGGTGCTGATTCCAAATCTGATCTCAGATTTGCTCTATCACATCTCAATTTTTATGTTATCGGTATACCCCATTTTCATTGATTTTACCCTAAATTAACTCTGTCACTTATGATTGCAAGTTGTTGCGAGTCAGCGACTGCTTTAGTGTTAAAATATGGTGCTGTATTTTTAGGATAGTGTGTTTATAATATAATTTTATGTAGATATCCACATTTATTTAATATTTTTCTTCTGCAGTTTTTATTGAAAATGCAATATTTGATATCTCAAAAACCTGATGTGATAGACAAAAACTGATGCCAGATTTGGAATCAGCACCCCAAAATTACATTAAAAATCGTTGGAATACCCTATGCCAGAACAAGTATAACCCGTAAAAACAAAGTTTTTCACTATAAATCCTTTATATGCGTGGCGGCTAGAGTCCTCTCGTCCTCTGGCTTGAAATGGCTGCCACCTATGGGTCAGATGATTGCATTGCACCATTAAGCAATTGGTAATTAAATATAATATTTCTGTCCTAAAAAGTGTAAAATTTTGGGAAAACATTTTCACGAACATTGTCACGCACAACGAGTCTGTGTGGAAAATGTCAGCTCGATTGGATCACGGGAAGTGGGTTAAAAAACGACCGAAAGATTTGCACGGTCGTAAGCAAGCAAGCGAACTTAATATAAAGGATTTAAAAAGTGTGTTGACCAGTGTAATATTTGGCGCACTAACATTTGTACAGTGACAATTTAATTTGTTTAGCTATGTCGTTGCGGCGGAGGATCTTACCGGACCATTATGTGGCCAAACTCAAAACTTATGAATCGTAACATTGTCTGCCAAAACCTATGAGTTAACAATGGCAATGATGATGAGAATCATGAACTGCCGAGTGAAGCTCAATTTAGATTAAAACTCACGACCCCGTAACCACCAGCCGAGTTCTCGACATACTAAGCCAGTTTGTAAGACTTTCCGGGGAGGCAAACCTTTCCATACGATTACACGACTGTATGTACAAAGGGCTGTGGCCACGGGCAAGAACAGATTACCAGTTGCATGCTCATTAGAAGAGTGCCACCCAATCAGTGTTGGGGGTGCAATGCTAAAAGGTCAGAGACGATGGCGCCCCTTGGGACTCGTTTGACGAAGGGTTTCCGCCCCACGGGGATGCCCCGCTACTCCTTGGTGCTGCCTCGCAGTCCATATTGCTGGTGCTGGACCTCAGTTGCTTGGTCATGGGCTGTACTGCAGTGTTGTTCTCTCTCTGCTTTCGCCTATGTGTTCCCTGCCTTGCTGCCTCCCCTCCCTTCTACCCTAAACACTCGTTTTTGTCACTTGCAAAGCATCTTGAGATGCATTTACAAGATATGCAAATGTAAAGGAGTCCACCACGAACGAGGTACAACTGAGGTAGGGGGCTCTTTATTTGCGCCAGCCACACGACGTCACTCGCAGGAAGCAGAACCAAGGCCGTGTCCCCGAGTTCTCCGCAAGCCCACTTCTTTTGGCTCGTTTACCGCCCATCGAGAGTTCCAAACAGACCCCCTCCCCCTCTAATCAAACCCGCTTCAATTTCCCAAACAAGTCTCCAACCGACCCAGTATGACCGATATAAATTGCCTGGGTTTCTACCCATCAAATTCCTCGGTTGCGAAGGTCTCGCGCTCCCCCCAATCAGCTCGCACACGGCTTGCGATAGCCGGCCAATGCGGTACGAGCTGTACCGTTTATATAATTAATCAATGGGGTACGCCCTCTGTGACCCCACGAGCTGTACCGTTTATATAATTAATCAATGGGCTATACACGCCCTCGATGACTCTTCCATAAATGTAAATGTGTTGTTGTTACCTGTAGTAGACTGCCACGTGGCCCTCATCGATGCGGTGAATGGAGGAGATGAGCAGAGCAAACATCAGGGCGACACCTGCCACCACCACTGCTCCCACCGACATCTTCTGCACACGCACACACACAGAACTTCAACATACATACACACACGTATACAATCGACCCTTAGCCTCGACAGACAACAGGGGGCAAGTGCAGTTCGCAAGCGCTAAGGCTGCGGTGATGCCCGGAAGTATCGGCGGTAGTGGTCAGGGGGGCCAGTAGTTAATTGATTTCATTATAAACAAGAGAAGAGAGCGTGATCTTAACACACAGTGATTACTGCGAAATAAAACCTATAACGTTTAAAAGTGTCACTGAGGGGAGAGACACTGGAGCATGTAATGCGAGCCGTCGATTCGAACCCATATCATTTGCATGTTGAAACCAAGCCGCCCTGTACTCTACCCCTCGGCTACAGTGCCTCCACAGACGGTTGGCAACTTGTGTATCTTGATAGCAGCCGTTTCTCACTCCACGATATCATCTGAGGCCGAGTCAACACCAAGCGAGGCACAGACCAGGTGCGGATACCATTTGAAGCCGTCATGCATGGTCAGGAATCGAAGACGGGCCACTTAGCTGACAGTGTGGTCGGCTAATTCACGTCACCGCAATACCAAAACATACAAGGGTGTATGTGCGCGTGCACACACAGCGCGATTTCTTCGGTCACTTGCAGACAACTGCCCTTGTAAAGATGCATCTACACACTCCATTCATCACAACTTCATAAAAATAATACGTAGATGGAAACACTCAGGAAAACTAAATTCAAAGATCCCATCTAACAATTTGAGGTTCTTTGCGAAAGCTTTGTTGGCAAGCACCTATTACGATTCGCATGGAACGAAACATGCGTTGAGATTGTTTAGATTTTGGTGCTAGCAATGTCCAAATAATGGCCCACTTTGTTGAGCTATCATTTGTGGTGAGGTCGCTTCTGAAAAATAAGTGAATACCTCTTGGCTTTGCCTGGTGGGATGGAGATGGTTGAGCTGTATTTATGTGTTTGGGCAATTTGTTTACGTTTCTTATCCTTTGCACTCTTATCGTGTTTTTGTATTGTTTGTTGTCGCAACGTTCCTACCCACCCCGACTGGACATCTGTGGAAGAAAAGAGCTTAATACCTCATCGGATTCCTCCAGTATAAATAAATATTCGGGTTCTGATATTTTTATTATTCGGGATATGGGCGTCGCTGGTACTGTAATCCAGCATTTGTCGTCCATCCCGAGTTGCGCTGAGAAGGTGGTGGCAGTGGTGGTGGGCCTTCTTGGACTGCTGCAGCCCTTGGGATGAGGGTGGCTCCCACCCCACAACGCCGTATCTGCCAGGGACATCCCAGATTCTGACCCAGCAATGATGGAGCGGCGATAAATGCCCAAATTCCGGACTGTGCATGGCTTGGAGTGGAACAAGGAGGCGGTGGCATCATTGGCATCATCATCACGACTTGGCAGCTCCTCCACTTGTGGTTCTCAAAGGTGGAGATTGCAGGTTTGGGGGTAGGTGCTGCTGGAGTTGCCTAGGAGAGTTGCTGCAGGGCATCCTATAGATCAAATCAAGACGGATCCTATAGATTGTACATCAGAATTAAAATCTGAATATTTATCTATACTAGAGGAATCTGATGAGCTATAAAGCTCTTTTGCACAGATATCCAAGTAGGGGCAGGTCAGAACATTACAACAAACAATACAAAACAAGATCGGAGTGCAAAAAAAGATATATATAAATAAAACTCAACTACTTTTTATCTTACCAGGTAAAGCCCACTGAGCTATTAGCTTCCTTTTCAGAAGAAGCAGGTGATAGAGGGGGTGGACATTCACACGGTTTAGCGAGGTGTCTATCAAGTGGCCTGCTCTGTTCTGGATGGTGTCAAACATTCTTCGGTGTTTTTAAAGCTCTGCACCCATCCAGGCAAGTGCCGAGCAGTCCCATTACACTCCTGACTTGTGCCTTGCAGAGACGGCGGCAAGGCATTGGGAGAGACAAGAGGTGGGGCCAGTGTCTGCACATTGCCTGACGTCATCTCGTGCTGTTGACGAACGCACCCTCATTTCAGCTCGAGATGACCTTGCGGAGACCGAGACCACGTTCATCAAGGATCTGGTCAGACAAGCGTTGTGCGTGACGAGGTAGCTGAACTTGGGCTGCCAGGACGGTAGTGAAAGTGGACTGCTTAGGATGACACTACTCAAGGCTGGGCAAATCCATTGAGACGTCTTATTTACAGGACCCGCAAGCTGCCACGGGGGAAGCAGATTTCATTAAACCCTGGAACATTATTAATGAATCCCATACGTCTTCTGGTGACATTGCAAAAAAAAAGCTCAATGTAATAAAAGTGGACTGAAAACCCAGTCGCCTTGTAGATTCCTCCATCCCAAATTCAAGCAAATGGTTGGGGAAATATTGGTTTCATGAAACTAGACTTTCAAAATAATTTGTGCTGGACGCACGAACCACATAACGCTATGGTCCTACGCGTCCGCGTTGGTTGTCTGTCCGAGCTGCCTATCCCGCTATGTGCCACTCACCCGTCTCGGAAGTTGTGCTGGAAAAAATAATGTAAATAGAATTTAAATCAAATTTATAATATCTAGGAGACATGCGTGATACTCAACACTAGCAAGGCAGCCAAACACAAGCCCCCTAATCAAACCGACAATAAATGTGTTGTTGAATGCCCTTATCATAAAACTACCACCACCATATGGACAGATGTCCTTTATCTAAAACCAGTTGAGAGGCCACCGAGCCATGTCTCATTTGCAAGGAAGAATGGATAAAAATTTACGTTAAAATAACTTGCAAAATCTTAAATAAATATCAACACAAATTGAATTTGTTTTCACTTTAAATATTTTTTTTAAACCATAATCAACATAAACTGGTCCTTGCCAATCGAATGTAGAACTTCCAGCACTTTCTTGGAACCACAATTGGGTGTGAACGCTACCAAATGCTCTTATTAATGGAGAAAAAATCAAGTGATGATCATAGGGGGAGACCGATTCCTACCAAATGAAGAGAATTTCCAGCAATTTCCGGAAATTGCCTCTCCTCGATTCTTGCCCAGTGATAGTTCCCTTCCGGTCTCAGACCCCAAGGCAACAATCTCTAGAGTGGCATGGGACAATATGGCCACGTGGTTCATGGGTGCAAGAATTGGTCCTGATGGGCAAGGATTAGGAACCAGCAGGATCCGGCTCCATGTGCATGGGTTAATGCCAGGATTTGAGCTCATCCACTAATGGGAGCCCCCTGCTGCTCAATCAACTGGGCTACTTCATGGCTTAAAAATAAATATTAACCAGATGTTAATAATTGACTAATGCCTAGCAACGCATGGACTTGGGATTCTCAAGCCCAATGGGGGCTTTGTGGCCTTTTCCCAACCTTATCAAAACAGCCCGTGATTAGGAAGGATATTGGTCATAAGAATGTGATTTTTGCTATATGCACACCCGCAAATGCAGCTGCTACTCATCATCCATGACCTCGCGACTGCTGGACAAAGGCCTCCACAAGCTCTTGCCATCTTACATATTGTGATGTAACATTCCATATAGCTCCTGCACACCAGCTGATCTCATCACTCCATCTCCATGCCCTCTTGGGTGTTTCTGTCAATTGGCTGCCAAACTACTTTGATTTGGGCACTGCCGGCAATCACAATCTTGGCATAACTGATAAGAAAAAAAGCTGATGTAAAGTTAAATATTAGATTATAGATGAGAAGTGGGACAATGGTTACCGTTCTGCACCGTGAACCCAATGCCATGACTCACATCAGCGGCAAATGATATCCGAATCTGTCCTAGGCATCCCTTTCACCAATCTGCAGAGATCAGCGTGGTCAGGTATGGTCAAACAACCTCCATGACTGGCAGCATGGGAGGGCCTTCATCTGTATGTAAGTATCCATCAGAGTTGAATCTAACAAATGTGTAATTGCCTAATGTCAAGTTTAGTAATTTTATCGCTACCGAGCCGATACGCCTGGTGGGTGACTAGATTGAAAGCAGGATGTCTTTCAACTTTTTTTTTCATTTTGCATCAGGGAATTCAACTCGTGGTCAAATGAACCTCATTGCGGTACCGCGGAGTACCAAATAATAAAAAATGGCCGAGGCAATTAAATATTTTATTTCTGGGACACTATTTTTTCCAGGGGTGTACTTAACTCCGAGACTGGGGTACCAATCAATCCAAAATCAGCGCTACTCTGATGTCGAAACGCCAATCATTACCATAAAAAATCCATTATCGAAAAATTTTACTTTGAATAATGCATTGTGTACAGCTCGTCGAGATGAGTCGATTGCCGCATCGCCGACCATCAACAGACTAAAAATGACTCATTCACAGACATTATGCGAGAGCGAGATACTATCGTCCCATGTGTTACCGCCATGAAATTCAAATGAGCACCGTGCTGAATGCAGGGGTTACCTTCCTGGAAAATGCCGTGTTGGGAAAAACCGCGTTTGACATACTAAGACCTTGTAGGCAATAAAATATTTTAAAATACTTTTTTTTTAAACACGCTTTAATGAAATGTGCCGTACGAGTAATGACAGAACTCCACGACTCCAGGAAGTGGGCCACGTAGCTTGCCATAACGTCAGGGACCGTGGTGATTTACAGGCAACGTGAGTTGAGCGTGGACAATTAGACCTGTAAAAATGATTGTTTAAAAATATATTTCAAATTTTTAATGATAGAATATCGTATTGTCATCAGTATGACATACCTATACCAAGTTTGCAGTCGATATGACATTGGGAAGACGGTTGAAAATGAGTTGCAAGATTTGAGGATACGACAACAGACGGAGTGAGTTAAATAAAAGCGTGTAAAATGTTTAAAAATATATAATTTTTTTATTTTCATGATATAATATAGAGTCTTGTCATCAGTATGACATAGGTATATCAAGATAGCACATTGGAAAGTAGATAAAAATTGAGTTACAAAATTTTTTGAGGATACGACAATAAAAGCGTGTAAAATAGAGTGATGTTCCTGGGTCCGAAATCACCCCCTCTCTCTTTG